ATTTATTAGAAACTGACATAGGGTTCTAAAATGGTACGGCTACTTCCAAAAACTGAATATAAGAGCGTCTTTGCCTGGTGATCTTAAAACCAGCTTTCGAACCTTAAATTAAATCAGTGGAAGAAAAAAACCTTAAACCAATTTAGGGGTTTTTGCTTCGAATGCAATTTGGGCCGGACCCAACCATGCACGTGAATAGACAATGAATCATGGAGTCTCAAGTGTTGGTTGATTGCATTGGTTCGAAACAAAAAATAGTGTAGGATAATTATCCCAATTTAGATTAATGATTGTTCTTTAATGTGTTAAATAGGCCAAGCCCGTTTCTAGTGGCCTCGTTGTCTTGGTCCAGATCCAAATCTCTACACACTTCACCCTTTTGGTCACAAAGACACAAACTCATAATTGGCAACTTTTATAACGTTTTTTTTTTGCTTCTACAATGTTTCTTTGTGGCATACGCAACGTTCCACTACTGAAGAACATCCTATTTCATGCAAATTTTTTAATAAGTGTTAGCGTGTATATATTTAATTCTCATTACTATTTAGTATTTTCTATTCAAAACAGTTACATCCAAAGTCATATCTAATTATATATTAATAATTTAATATTAGTGAAATTAAAATAATAAGTCGATTCAGATTAAATGAAGAAAAGTGGATATTCCATACGTCCAAGATTCCTCTAAATCTTTATATCCATCTCAGTTCCTTACTCTTTATTTTATACGCAAAATTAGAAACGTATCCATATATATAAACATCTATGTGTGTGTAAGAATATATAATAAATCACGACAGAAATTGTATCACAGAAGTAGAGAAGAAAGGAAGCTAGAAGATGGAGATATTTGTGAAGAAAGAGTACTTAGATTTGGTTCTTGTCCCGTTCGGATTAATCATAGTTTTATCTTACCATCTATTTCTTCTCTATAGAATCCTTTATTTTCCTTACCATACCATTATCGGTTTCATGAACATCGATAAATCCATTTGGGTCGACCGTATCATGCAGGCAAGTGATCTCTTTTTACTACAATCTTTTTGAAATTATCGATATCGATTTCTAGATATAATGTTTTAAAATGATGATTTGGTAATGCCAACATTTTTCTTATTATTATTGTTACTCTTCTGCTATATGGATTTAGATATAACGGTTAGCTTAAATGATTACAGGCAAGAAAAGACGAATTGGGTGGTGCTTTAACTGTTCTTTCAAGCAGCATATCAGCTTCAACATTTATGGCATCCATTGCTTTAACATTAAGTTCACTTATCGGCGCGTGGATCGGAAGCTCACCGGTTAGTATGACGGTTTTTACCGGACATTTTGTCTATGGAGACACGAGTTCAATCACAATGGTCATCAAATATTCCTCTCTCCTCATATGTTTCCTAGTTGCATTCTGTTGTTTTATTCAATCCACGAGATGTTTTCTACATGCGAACTATCTTATTACCACTCCCGGGGACGACATTCCGCCCGATATGGTGAAGAGATTTGTCTTGAGAGGCGGTAACTATTGGTCGGTAGGTCTTAGGGCTCTTTACTTGGCTCTTGATCTATTGTTGTGGCTTTTTGGACCGGTTCCGATGTTTATTAACTCGGTTTTGATGGTAATTTGTTTGTATTATCTCGACTCGAACTCGGTGGCTCAGCCTCTTTATCACCGGACTTTCGAGGCGGAGCAAGTTGTCAAGAAGATGAGAGGAGTTTTGCCTGAACAGTTGACTTTTAGATGTAATTGAAAAGAAAATTATTTGATTATTATTAATCAATTTGCCAACTTGAGATTTGAATATTCACACTTAATGATCTATTGAATGATTCGTAAGTAATAAATCAATTATTGCATGAGATTTGAGAAAGCCGTACGGAGCATGTTCCGGGAGCGTCTTGTCTTATGTTTTGTAATTTATTCACACGATAGAGCATTAACGGAAACAAAAAGAGATGAAAAAAAAAAGATGAGCTGTGTAATTCATTTCTTGGAAGCAACTACTTAGACATTTTCTCTATCTTTGAAAACAATTATTATTGTGTTTACTAGTAATATATATCTTAATTTCGTTTTCCACTTGTCTTACAAAAAAATCATGGTCACATCACGTTTTCAATTATATGAATGGCTGAATATTGCTCATGTATTTTCACGTAAGTGTACATTAGCCAATATTTTAAAGAGAAGTTCAATTCAATGGAGTTTCGGTTGGAATTTTCAAACATTTATGAAATATATGGAACACATGAACACTACTACACTAGTCTAAATTCGTTGGAATTTTTTTAGCAACTTATCCTTCAACATATATTATTAATGGCTATTCTTGGACTAAGAAAAATTATGGTTTTAAAGATTGAACTTCCTTATCAAAAAATTTGGCCTTAGTTCAAGATAGTAGTTTTTCAAAAAAATTAGCATCTAATTTTTATTAGTCCTAGAAAGTTTAAACAAACTATTGAAAGAGTACTTGATGAATACAAGTGGTGGTATATATATATATACACAAACAATGTTTAGATTGAACTTGTCCAATACGAGCTAGTTTGTTGGTTATTCGGTGTTAGTCTTCTTATATAAATAACTTGAATATCGAAAAAGAGTATGATCCAGTGATGAATAATATCAAAATCAAAATTTTCATTTTGTATCCTCTTTTCTGTGGAGAGAAAAAAAAAATGAAGAACACATTTTTTCTTGTATTTCTGTATATTATTCTTCTTTACATATGAATATATATATATATATATATATATATATATATAATATATAGTTTGCAATTGTCAATGATTTGGAATTGTGTAAGAGTTTTCCGTGGGGAACATTCACGTTCATTCATTGTATAGAGAATATTCGTCAATGGATAAAATTGTTCAAGGGTGAACCGAATTCTTCATGGACTATTCCCGGCTTCACTATTGCATTTGAGGTACCATTTTTTCTCTTTTTTCTTCTCTGTTGTTATTATTTCATTCTTGTTCTTATTTCCAACTTTGTGCAGATTTTAGCTTTTGAGTGTATTCAACCACTCAAAAGCAAGTTTCGAGTAAACGTAGACCACAGAGACAATGGATGTCCGCGTATGTGTAGGTCGAATTTCAAAGACACAGGTGAAATGGGATATTCACTGTACGCGATATACGAAGCAATTGGAACTACGAAGGTATGAAAACTCAATGTTTTATGAATCACGATTTTGGTTTGCTGTCTTCAAGATCTCTGCTTCTGGCCCTCATTTTGCTAACTCTTGTGGATCATCGTGATTTTGGTTTGCTGTCTTCAAGATCTCTGCTTTTTGCCACTTTATTTATATATATATATATAGATATATATATATATATATATATATATAAAAATTCAATGATACTGCATAAAACTTGCACGATAAGCCGGATGTGAAGTATTGTGTTATGATTATATTTAGATAACCGAGCACAAAGATAACATTCTACATATTTTTGTCCCTTAAAAACATGAAACAAGCTAAACCAAAGTTTAGAATTCAATCTAGGTTCATATTTCTTATGTACAATGATGGAGAATTTTTTTTAAAGAATTTATGTTTTTAGTAAATAACCACTCAGTTTGAGGAGAGCTAGCAATAATAGATTTGTCAGGGAGACATCATACATTGTATGAAAATGTCATTTCGTGATTGATGCTTTAAAATATCGGGAGATGAAAAGTTGAGTTAGGAGATAATCAAGTGAATTGTTCACATGTTAGTTTCTTTTTGGATAACAACAAAGTAAAATCTTAAATAATTTTATTCCTTTTCTAGTATTTATAACATTGCAGAGAATAGATAAAAAATAGAAGAAAACAAAGAGAATGAAATGAGGTTTAGAGGAATCACCATAACTCTCAACATCTACAGAGATTCACAATATGAAAAATTATCTACGAAGTTCGGCCTCCTCTTGTGTATACAATTTTAGATATCTTTGCTTAAATAATTGTTCTTGTATGAGTGTTTTATGTTCTGTTATATCATAAATCTATGGCTTGTTTCTATTTTCGATGAACTTCTTCTAAGAAGAGAAGAAAAAACGGATCAATTTTTGATATTTTTCTAAGCTCTTTATGATTCCATGGTGAGAAAAAATAATGGAAATACATCTTTTAGATCTGTTTCTTAAAGAATCTTTTACTCTCCTGTGAAGAAAGTAGGTCTATTCTCCGTTCTCTATGCAACCCAGTCAACCACCCGATGTCGAAACCAACGGGATAAGTGATACTTTCGGTGGGTGCCGTAGTTAAGTTTTAGTTTTGTTATAGCTTAGATCCATAGATTCTTTCTATTTTGATGTACCACTTCAAAAACAAAATTTTGAAGAAAATGAAGAACACATATTTTCTTGTATTTCTGTCTATTATTATTCTTTACATATGAATATATATTTATAAACACAATGATACTGCATAAAACTTGCACGATAAGCTGGATGTGAACTATTAGGCCTGGGCAAAAAAATACGACCCGATACCCAAACCGATACCCGGACCGAAAAAAACCGGGTTGGGGCGGGTTAGGGTATTAGGAAATTACCTCATTGGGTAGAGTTTTGGTCTACCCGTGGATATCGGTTCGGGTCGGGGAATACCCGTTACCCATTTAGGGTACCCATAAACCCGAAGCTTTTAGACATGTGTTCATATATGTATATAGATATATAATTATATAGTCATATAGCCCTACCTTTTGAGTTTTGACCATTGAGTATTCTAATTTCCTTCTAGAATCCATATTCCCTCGATAATCTCTACTTAAAATCCCTTTTTCAGTCTCATTATCGAAACTGGATATTATTCTTTATGGGCCTTCTAATGGTCTTCTTGTGATATTATGTTTTCGGTGAAAGCTTTGCATATGATATGGCTTGTTTGGTTCGTAACAAAAAAAAATAGACAAACTTATTTGGGCCCATAAAGGCCCATAGAGTTAATTTCGTAGGCCTATTATACACAATTCCTTGTTTAATCGCTGTATTCTCTCTCGCGACGGATCTTCTACTTAGGTCTCTCTCTTCTTCACCTTTTCCTCACTTTTTCAAAATCAGTAGATTTAGGAATTTCAGAATTTGAGCGAAATTTAAAGTAGACGACGAATCGTCTGAATTCGAATTTCAAGTAAAATTTGCAGAGATGATGAGGATGTTCAGTAGAGGAGGGAAGGATTCACCGTCTGATTCAGCTTCTCCGTCACCGAGATCATACCCTTCGACGTCTCCGGCATCTTCGTCTGCAGTGACGGGACCACCGAGACCGATTCGTTTAGTTTATTGTGATGAGAAAGGGAAGTTTCGTATGGACCCTGAAGCTGTTGCTACTTTGCAACTCGTTAAGGAACCAATTGGTGTTGTTTCTGTTTGTGGTAGGGCTCGTCAAGGAAAGAGCTTTATTTTGAATCAGGTTAGGGTTTCGCTTCTTCTTTAAGAGTTCGTTTTTGGGTTCTCGTTGGAAAAATGGGGTTTGTTTTGAATTGGGTTCTTTGTACATTGTTTTGAGGTTCTAGGGTTTTGGCAAATTAGGGTTCTTTTGTACTACCTCCAATTGATTTGTCAGGGTAAGGAAGCTTATTGGATTCAATAATGGGGAATGATGCTTGTTTGATTTGGTTCTGTGTACATTGTTTTGAGGTCTAGGGTTTCTGTTTTTCTGTGTTTCTTATATTGTTTTGTGATGTTGCGCTTTTGTAGCTTCTTGGACGCAGTAATGGGTTTCAAGTGGCATCAACACACAAGCCGTGTACCAAGGGGCTTTGGTTGTGGAGTTCTCCTATAAAAAGAACAGCTCTTGACGGCAGCGAATACAATCTTTTGTTGTTAGATAGTGAAGGAATTGATGCTTACGACCAAACTGTAAGTAACATTTAGCGAATTTGCTACTTATGAATTTGATCTTTTTCCAAGAATTTGTGTTTACTAACATTTTTTGATTCCCTTTACTTCCATTTCCACAGGGTACCTATAGCACTCAAATATTCTCATTAGCTGTTCTTTTGTCAAGCATGTTCGTATACAATCAGGTTTGTTAGAATTTTCAGTTTGAACTTAATTTAAGCTTTTGTGAAAATATTTTCACACTTGTGTTGACTGATGTTTTTTTGTTGGTATGTGTCAGATGGGAGGCATTGACGAAGCTTCACTGGATCGCCTTTCTCTTGTCACTCAAATGACAAAGCATATCCGTGTAAAAGCTTCTGGAGGAACGAGCTCACGTTCGGAACTTGGGCAATTTTCTCCCATCTTTGTCTGGCTGTTGAGGGTAATCCTCTGTTATTTTTGTTTGTAGATATTATTTCTTAGAGATAAGTATTAACATTGATATACTTTACTGTAGGACTTTTATTTGGATCTAGTGGAAGATAATCGGAAGATTAGCCCACGTGACTATTTAGAGATTGCCTTAAGGCCAGTTCAAGGTACTGGAGGAGATATTGGTGCTAAAAACGAGGTACTATGTTATTAATTTTTCGAGTATGTTTATTTAGATAGTCAGGCACTCTTGAGAAACCCTGGTTTGGTGATCAAGTGTAATTCCTTTGGTAGAATAATTGTATGTCAGTGTAACTGAAAACAATTTCGTTTTGCAGATCCGAGATTCAATCCGTGCTCTTTTTCCGGACAGAGAGTGCTTTACCCTTGTAAGGCCTCTGAACAATGAAAAGGACCTGCAGAGACTTGATCAAATTTCGGTTAGTATTGTTCTATCATGCCCCTTTACCTATAATAATACTTAGTTGTTTAGTGCTTAGTTGGATTATATCCTGTGTGCTTATGCAGTTGGAAAAATTGAGACCTGAATTTGGTGCTGGCCTGGATGCATTTACCAAGTTTGTTTTTGAGAAGACGAGGCCCAAGCAATTAGGGGGTACTGTGATGACTGGCCCTATTCTTGTCGGTATTACACAGTCATATCTGGATGCTTTGAATAATGGTGCCGTGCCAACAATAACCTCATCTTGGCAGGTTTGATATCTCTTACCTCTATGGATGTTCAATGCATTTAATCAAAAGCCATTCTTTTTATTTTGTAAGATTTAAAAATATTGAAGGATTTGACTGGATATGGCAAGGCTTACTTTACACTGTCTGATACATTACATCTTAATGGGTGAACATATGGTTGATTATTGTATTCATACATCTATGTACTTCAAACCATTGTGTGGCTTAGTTGTAATGTTTTTACCAATGCATTCTCTAGCCTATTTTCTCCCAGATCAATAACGTTATTTTTCTTGACTATGTCCTTGTAGAGTGTCGAAGAAACTGAGTGTCGAAGAGCATATGATTCTGGTGTAGAAGCCTATATGGCTGCCTTTGACCAATCAAAAGCTCCTGAAGAAGTAAGTATCTTATCTTGGCTTTAGCCTCTTGTTTATTTTTGTAATATATGATTCATGTCAATTCTGCTATGTGTAGGGTGCACTGAGGGAAGAACATGAAGAAGCAGTTCGAAAAGCCTTGGCTATGTTTAACTCTAATGCTGTAGGGGCTGGTTCAGCAAGAAAAAAATTCGAGGATCTTCTCCACAAGGACTTGAAGAAAAAATTTGAGGTGATAGATTCTAAAACAGTGTTGTTCAGTAGGAAGCATTTGTTTTTGAATTCTTCCTGTTTTGTATAACTCATTTACGCATCTTTCACATGAGATTTCTCCTCTCATTGTCTTATGCTAATATAGACAATACTTTGGTGATTCAGGATTACAAGAAGAACGCTTTTATGGAGGCAGATTTGCGATGTACGAGTACTATCCAGCGCATGGAAAAGCAGCTTAGAGCAGCTTGCCATGCCTCTAACGCAAATATGGATAATGTTGTCAAGGTTTGTTATTTGTGGATATTTTTTTTGGCATAGAAGGATTAGGTTTAAAGGTTCCGTGATTTTTTTTTTGCTAGTTTGTAATGATCGACTGTGTCTCAGGTTCTAGAAGCTCGTTTGGCAGAGTATGAGGCATCATGCCATGGCCCGGGGAAATGGCAGAAACTTTCTGTGTTTTTGCAGCAAAGGTATTTTACTACTTCCACTCCCCACTGTTTTTCATTTATGTTTAGGTTTTGTTTGAGGTGCGATCATGTAATTTGTGCTTTGTGGTCTACTTTTTACTCATGCAGCTTGGAAGGACCTATATATGATCTCACCAAAAGGCTTATAGATAGCATCGCTATAGAGAAGAATTCCCTTGCAATGAAATTCCGTTCTGTTGAAGATGCGATGAAACATTTAAAACAGCAGTTGGATGATAGTGAGAGATACAAGTTGGAATACCAGAAACGTTATGATGAATCCAACAATGACAAGAAGAAGCTGGAAGATATATACAGAGAGCGCATAACTAAACTACAGGGGGAGAATAGTTCGCTGAACGAGCGATGTTCTACGTTGGTTAAAACCGTGGAATCTAAAAAAGAAGAAATCAAAGAATGGAAAAGAAGTTATGACCAGATTGTTTTGAAGCAGAAAGGTGTTCAAGATCAGCTTAGTTCTGAAATGGAAGTCCTTAGGACAAGAAGTACTACTTCTGAAGCTAGGGTTGCTGCAGCTAGAGAACAAGCCAAATCTGCTGAAGAAGAGACTAAGGAATGGAAAAGGAAGTATGATTATGCGGTGGGAGAGGCTAGATCTGCTCTTCAAAAGGCTGCTTCAGTGCAAGAACGTTCAGGCAAGGAAACACAGTTGAGGGAAGATGCTCTTAGAGAGGAATTTAGTATCACTTTAGCTAAGAAGGTATCACTCTTTGTCCCATTCGTTTAAGGGATGAATTTAAGCTTGTTATCATCAGTATATTATTTATTTTCGGTGTTAATCAATTGCAGGATGAAGAAATTAAGGAGCAGGCTACAAAACTTGAGAAGGCGGAGCAGTCTCTAACTGTTCTAAGTTCAGATTTGAAGGTGAGCTTTATGAAAATGATAGTATATCTATGTTAACCTCGCCTTGTTAATCTATCTTCCTATGTTGTAAACATCTGTGGAAGTAGTTTACCTTTGTGAAATGTGGATCTTAGCTTGTCTTGTGTCTTTTGCAGGTGGCTGAGTCAAAACTTGAAAGCTTTGACGTAGAGTTAGCATCACTGAGATTAAAATTAAGTGAAATGACTGATAAGTTGGACAGTGCCAACAAAAAGGCTCTAACATATGAAAAGGAGGCTAATAAGTTGGAGCAGGAGAAAATCCGTATGGAACAAAAGTATCGATCTGAGTTTCAACGCTTCGATGAAGTCAAAGAGAGATGTAAGGCAGCCGAAATAGAAGCTAAACGCGCTACTGAACTGGCAGACAAAGCTCGAACTGATGCTGTCACTTCGCAAAAGGAGAAAAGTGAGAGTCAGAGGTTGGCGATGGAAAGACTTGCTCAGATCGAACGAGCTGAGAGGCAAGTCGAAAACTTAGAGAGACAGAAGACTGACTTGGAGGATGAATTGCACAGACTTCGTGTGTCTGAGATGGAGGCTGTCTCCAAAGTTACAATCTTAGAAGCAAGAGTCGAAGAACGAGAGAAAGAAATCGGGTCATTGATAAAGGAAACCAATGAACAGAGGGCTCATAACGTGAAGTCACTTGAAAAGCTGTTGGATGAAGAGCGTAAGGCTCATATAGCTGCAAATCGAAGAGCTGAAGCTCTTTCTCTTGAGCTGCAAGCTGCACAGGCACACGTTGATAATCTTCAGCAAGAATTAGCTCAAGCTAGGTTAAAAGAAACCGCACTTGACAACAAAATCAGAGCTGCGAGTTCCTCACATGGGAAGCGGAGTAGATTTGAAGATGTCGATATGGACATTGGAGATGCAGGTGATAGAGTCTTGAGGACTAATAAACGAGCTCGAAGCACGAGAGGAGATGATCACGGTCCTACTGACGAAGGCGATGAGGACTTTAGCCATCAAGACAATGGCGAGGAGGAAGAAGAAGAAGATTACAGGAAGCTTACTGTGCAGAATCTAAAGCATGAGCTGACCAAGTATGATTGTGGACATTTGTTATTGAACAGAGGCCATCAAAACAAGAAAGAGATTCTTGCTTTGTATGAAGCTCATGTTCTTCCAAAGAAAGCTTTAGTGAAAGAGGAAGAGAGAAAGAGACAGAGAGAAGTCACTTCGTCTTAGAGGACAAGACTCTGTACAGAGTAAGGATGAGATAAACATGTTTTAATCTCAAAAGTCTCGATCTTTAGAGATTAGTAAAGAGTTGGATTTAGTTAAGGCTCTGACTCTGAGTATTGTTTCTATCTTTTTATCAGTTTTTATCGGTTTACCTGGGACTGGAGAAAGTAAACCGAATTAGAAATTTGTATTGAATCTGAGGTTTAGGGTTTTATGAGTGTGTTTTTGTGTTGGTATTATTAATTTTGTGTGGGGTTTTGAGTCGGTTTGGTGTTGGACTTTTTGATTTTTAGACTCTTCAAGTCTTTTTCAGAATTCTGTAACGAGTTTGAGATCGACCGTTTTGCTTTGAATACTACTCTTCAATTTTAAGTCAGCATTATTGACTAATTGGGTTTTTAAAAGAATGATTCTAAGAGTATTTTAACTGGAGACTCATTTGACGTCAAGAAAGTTTAGGCCGCTTCTCTCTCTTCCAAAAATTCTCTCCCTTATCTCTCTCTTTTCTTTCTCGCCGCCGCTTAAGTTCTTCGCTTCCGATCGGCGTCTGTGGGCCACCATGGCCACAGCGTCGATTCGGCTTTTGGGTTTCTGCTTAGTTAGCTAGCTATGGTTTCTTATGGGAAGAGATCTCTGGTTTGGTTTCGATTTTTCGATTCCTTCCCTTTCTCTTCTCCTTTTAGATCTAGGGTTTGGTTGGTTTGATTTTGTTGCAGATTTCAATTCTCTTTTTTAGCTGAGCTTCCTTGGCCCAAACCGCGATGGCTCTAAGCCACTCACTGTCGGTGTGGTGGTGATTCGGTTTGGGTGACCCAATTTTTTGGGTTTCCTCACACAGCTCCAACGATCGGATCTAGGGCGAGATCCGCCCAGGTTTGGGTTCCTCTTACCGGTTCAAGTCGTTTACTTGACATCTCCGGCCACTGCGATTTCAACGGTCTCTGCTTGTTGGGCTGAGGTTCCACCGTTCCGCTTCTCAAGGTATCCCAAGGTTTTTTCTTCTGAAGACTCTTAATCATCAGGTGAGGCAAGTTGATCGAAGGCTTTTTAGGTTGTGGTCTGTTCCTTTGTGTCAACCTGATAGTTTTTGCGATCTCGGTTTGTTCGGGTAAAAAGATTATTGTTTTTCTGTGTAAAATTTCCAATCTTGTTTAGATCTGTTTTAGTGTTTTGTTTGTTTCCCCGTCTGTTTGGGGCTTAGTTTCTGGGGGTTAAAGTCCCGCCGGCTTAGTTTCCGGGGGTTAAAGTCCCGCCGGCTTTAGTATTTTTCCATGTATCACATCCTTGTATTTCGACTTTGGCTCTATTTCATGAATTATTCAGACGAAAAAAAAAAAAAAAAAAAAAAGAGTATTTTAACTTATATCCATGGGATGGGATGTGACACACCGAGAAGAAATTAGTTAAACGATTACATGTGCATTTGCGTGGTTTGATAATTCTCTTTAGTAATAAATGATATTATTAGTAGTCCTAATAAATTACGTTTCTATTTAAAAAAATTACAGTTTTTTACAAAAGCTATTAAAACACAGAAAATGTTACAAAAAATAAAGGTCAGTCAAGAAAATAAAGTTTAGTCAAGAAGATAAATTTTCATTCATGTTATTGGTTTGTAATAAATTTGTAATTTTATAATAACTGTTACATTAAATCAAGCACTTAAGTCTGATGCCACCTTACATGAATCAAAATTGAATTAAACAAAATAAAATCTACCGAACATTTTTCACCAAAAAAGATATATATGACTTGTTCCACAAGTTGTAAGATTAGGTCCACCGTCCAAATTTGACAAAAATTTAGCTTCCAAGTCTCGTCAAAAATATCACAATGAGTTAAAATATTCTTTCGTACACTTAACCATATTATAATATAACTCCTCGTAATCCATGATTGTTTCGGACAAAGCACACGAAATGTCATTTTAGTTTATTTGAAACACATAGTATATTTAAGATTTTGTAGATTGATTCAGAGTAACATCATCAGTAGAAATTACTTGATTTATATGAAACCGAGTTTATACGTCGGAAAAAACACCCCCCTTAAATTTCAGTTTTCTCTGTAAAATCCCAAAACATTATGAATTGTTAATATAATCACCCAACAACATCATTAATATTCTTAATTGATTCATATGAAACCGAATTCTAACTCTATAAAATAAAACTATATAATATACACGGCATTAAAACAACATTTACGTTGCTGTTCCACTAATAACAACTATACCCCTTAAATTCCAAATTTTCTTCCTAAAACCCCAAAACTTTTAAAATTATACAAATCACCCTCCTTCCATCTCCAAACTATTCAAAATCGCCGCCACTTCAGAAATCGACGGCCGACTTCTCCGTGAATTCCCGACACAAGCCAAAGCAACCTTCGCTAATCTTATTACCAAACTCTTAATCTCACTTTGTACAACAATCCTCGGATCTAATAACTCACCAAATCTCTGTTCTTTAATCAATGGTGTTGCCCATTTCACAATCAATCCATTTTCACTTCTTCTTCCACTCAAAATCTCCATTAAAACGACGCCGTATCCATACACATCACTCTCTTTGCAATAACCTTCTTCTACATACCCAAAAATCCCAGATTTTTCAATCGGAATCAAAAACCCAAATCCGTAATCGCAAATCTTAGCCGTTGATTTCTCGTCAATCAATATATTCGATGATGTGAATCGACCGTGTACGATTCTAGGGTTTGCAATTTCGTGTAAATACTCCAATCCTCTCGCTGCTCCCGCCGCGATTTTAAAACGCGTTTTCCAACCAAATTCAACCGCAACCGCTGATTCTTCGTGTAAGTGATCACTCAAGCTTTTTCCTTCTCCGACGAATTCTGTCACGACGATTCTTTCTCCGGGAGCTTCTGAGAATCCTAAGATTGAAACGACGTTTGGATGATGAGAAGAAGAAAGCGATTTAATAACCGTGGAAAAACCGAAACCCGGTTTACTCAAAACCAAACCGGGATGTATTCTTTTGACCGCGACGAGGTTTTTATGGTCTGGAATTATCGCAGCGTAAACCGTTCCTAACCGACCAGAACCGATGATTCGTCGCTGGCTGAATCCGTCGGTTGCTGAATCTAATTCGGTTAAGGGATAAGCAAGACCGGCCGGTTTGGTTTCTGGAAGAAGAGATTCGTCGTCGGACCGGTTTGGTTTTTTTCTGCATAGTAAGAAGAGGAAGATTATGAGAAGAAGAAGAGAAAGAGAGAGAAGAGACAAAACTGAAGCGTATGCGATTTTTTCAGATTTGTCCATTTTATTCAATAAAAAATAAATGGATTGATTATGGATTATGAGAGTTGTGTAAATATATATATACGAAGAGAATAATAAAATAAAATAAAGGTCAAAAAAGACAAATGAAGGAAAAAATTTCGTCTAGATGGTCAATAAATATTCATGGACTCTTTAGGTTAGGAAGAAAATCATTACTTTTCATAATTTAAGCAAAATATTTTTTATATTATATTTACATGGTATGATTTTTAAATTTGTTAAATTCTTGAAAATTTCAGTTTTAGTTATTTTCATTAAATTATAGAAGTTACTAAGACGCGTTAATTTCTCAAAAAATTAATAATCATACGTAAGAAAAGTTAACACATTTTAACCAAAAAAAATTTCAACACATTAACAAATAACAAACATGTTAGTAATAATAGTATCGATTGTTGGAGAATGGAGAGTTTTCGGACGATACTACTAGTATCTCGAGGAATTTCGATTGTCTTTTTCATGGTGTAAGTTTGTCGGTCCTTCAAAATTTCAAAGAACAAACGCATAATATCACATGAGCATCTAACATTCGTTCGATGAATGTTAGAGTGAAAAGGAGAGCTTGAATAATCAGAAGATGACACACTTTACTCATTAGCTACTCATTGAAAGATATGAAATTATAGATGTTCATATGATATCAAAACAAATTGACTTACTAGTATTTGATCTAAACTAGTGTTCAACTTATGATAAATGTATTAGATTAAAAGAATGTGTTGTAAGAATCACACACTGAAAATAAATGGTCAAAGTGATATGAAAAGCTAGAGAATATTAAATCTTATGAGAATGAAATATTTGATAAGGACCCATCTAACTTTGGCAGGTGAAACTCACACCTAATATAACTAATGCCATTTATATAAAGTAAATTATATTTATTTCAAGTTTTCAACTTTTGATTATTCTATTTATATATACATATCACAAAAAGTTTACCTACTATGTATTAACCTATATTGTACAGTATTTCCCATCAAGATTATGTTGGATTTCTGGGGAAGAAAGTGGAGCATTTCAACTACTAGAGAATGAACAAAACTATGTCAGTTAAATCATCGCGGGCTGATGCTTTGTTGAGATATCTCGAAAAAGTTCAGCTGTGACTTAGGGTTTGCAAAATATAACATACTTTCTTAAATTTTCAAATTTTACTTGAAAATGATTTTTTTTTTGTTTGAAAATGAATATTTGTTTGTAAAGCAATCACATATTATATTTTTTTGGTATGGTGTGGAAATATCAAAAATCTAAAACTATCTTAATTCTTAAATATATTTTCTGACTGTATAATATAAGCTAAGTAGTAGTATATTAAGAGTAAACGATGAGTACGATTACGGTATTGTTTGTCATATCTACAAGCACCCTAAATCCTGGAATTCTTAGTTAACCATTTACTAATGATCCACTATTATAAATTTGGTACGTTAGTTACACCATCAAATTTCCTTAAATTCCGAAATTACTAAAAAGATATATGAGAAGATCGATATACCAAACATATATTGTTTTATTATCTAAAGCCCATGCTGACCAATAATAATCATTGAACTTGTATTATAAAATTATTTCATTTCATTCATTACATATGTCCGTAGATTCTCTCTTTTCTAAACAACAAGTAATACTAAAATAGTGTTGCAAAACGAAGACAGATGCACTGTATCATCCATCTAATTTGTGAATTTTCATTTTAGTGTTTTCTACTTTTCTTCCACCTTTTCTTTCTGGTGGCAAAAATAGCCTAAGTTGTTGTTTATACTTATATATATTCATATTACGGCTCAACATCATATATTAGAGATTTAAACAGTATATATTTTAGAGATCTTTAGCTCAAACATAAAGACGTTGATATTGGTTAGCTATAGTCTATAGAGTATCAGTATAAATTTAGGCTTACGAGTTCTTACTTTAGCTTTAAATATCTTTATGACAAACTTTAAAAATGGAAATATTTATTTTGAAAAATGTGCATAACAAACTAAATTGTAGGATGTGGATTTTTATTGGGCACACATATATATAAACCTTTAAAAGATGATAGTAAAAATATTGTAAAAGAACCACCAAAACTTTGTTGCCTAACTAACTGTTATGCAAATCCAAAAGCCGCATAACACATATTGTTGATCACATAAAACAGATATTGTGGAAAAACTGAGTTTGTAATTTTTTTTTTATTAGAACTGTGTATTTTGGGTATCATGACTGAGAATAGCAAGTAATTAACATTATAGTAGTGGTAATTCATGTGTATAAAACATATCCAACAAAGTACGATATAGTTCATATGTACCTAAAATTACTGTTTAGACTCTCACTAAATCAGATAAATGTTGGATTCTGGTTAAGCTCATTTACTAAAAATTGAGTATTTTGTTTTTTTTTTGGTTAACCAAATGACTATTCGAGTCTATATCAAATTTTATAACCAAATGATCCATAAAATGTAATTACCATGAACTTATACATATCAGATAATCTGAACCAAAAAATATTTGGGTCGAATCCAGTCTAATCTAAAAAAAATTGGATTCATAATGCAGTCCAAATCATTCAAAATAGTTGGGCTTCTTGTTAAGGATTCTTTGTATGGGCTTTTAGTTCGCATATCAAAATGCTCCAAAACATATCCTTGGGAAACAATCCCAAATCTTTTCCAAGACCTTTCGTTTCTTTGTCAACGACACTTCATTAATTATCGTTAAAATTTTGAAATATCATAATGAAAAAATGTAACGTGCAAGTCTAATCGCATGACACACCCAAGAATGCGTACACCTAAACTGATTTTGACGTTAGTTAACATTTAATAATAGAACTAATCATTTAATTACAAACAAGTGCTTTGTCAACGTGTAATATATTACTATGTTTTAGCAAATGACTATGTATAGTTTATAATCTTACTTGGTCTCCACGCAGGAACTACTCAAAATTACCCAAAGGCTTTAAAGACATTTTCATTTAGATTAAAACATAAACATCAGTCTTATTTTCAATAAAAAATGTTCATGGGAATTCAAAATCAGAATCACATTTCCCAAACCATTGAATAAATCCAATCATGGAACCAAAATATTTCAAAACAAAATCCTTTAGTAGACAAGGTCAAAAGCTTATCCTTCACATAAACAAATGACTTAGGTTTGGTTTCAGACTTGCTTGCAATACATAACAAAGTAAGCAGCCAAAGTTACATTAAAACACAAGCATTTGGTCAAAACAACAAAGCACCTGGAAAAGGAGATTTGAATCTTGAGTGTTATGGAGATTAAGGTTGATGAAGAAGCTGGGATCATCGAAGAAACTGTTCCACTCCTGGATGATCAAAATCGAAATCGGGACTTTCCTGACATAGAAAGGAACACTATGATGCAAAAGGCAATAGGTAAGACTTTTCAGACCACAGCTAATCTAGCTAATCTTTTACCAACGGGGACAGTTCTTGCGTTCCAGATCTTATCGCCAATTTGCACAAATGCTGGGCAATGCGATCTAGCTAGCAGAGTCATGACTGCATTGCTAGTTTCCATCTGTGGGTTCTCTTGTTTCATACTTAGCTTCACAGATTCTTACAAGGACTTGAATGGAAATGTCTGCTATGGATTTGCAACAATCCATGGTTTTTGGATAATTGATGGCTCAGCTACTCTTCCTCAAGAACGTTCCAAAAGCTACAAACTACGGTTTATAGACTTCGTACATGCCATTATGTCGTTTCTGGTTTTTGGAGCCGTGGTTTTGTTTGATCAGAATGCGGTTAAATGTTTCTTTCCTGAACCATCAGCTGAAGTAGCAGAGCTTCTCACAACTTTGCCAGTAGCCGTAGGAGTCTTCTGCAGTATGGTGTTCGCTACGTTTCCTACTACACGCCACGGTATTGGTTTTCCCCTCTCTGCTAAATGATGTTCTGAACCAAAATGTAAAAATCTTCATAACCCCTTTGGAATCTCTGAAATTCTCTGTTGTATCTTGTGCTTTACCATTCTTCTGAGATGGTCTTTTGAATAGAATATCTCAATGTTTGTGTATGTTGTTCCACGCGATATGTTTGCTTCAGCTGCCTTCTTCTAATCTTCCTTGCACTAACTTAGATATCCAAATCTCTGAGAAGAGAATCTGAAGCTTCTCCTACAATTGTTTTATCCAATGTGTGACCTATAAGTAGTTTCCATGTTCCTTTATTTGGAATACACCCGTCAGTCACTATCTCGTCAACTAATTGACCAGCTTTCTGGAATTCACCCTTTTTGCACAAACACTTCACCAAGGAGTCTAGTGTTTCAACCTCAACCGAGATGCCTCTACTCCTCATGCTTAGATATAGAGTAAATGCACGACTTGGATAGTTTGTACAAAGACCTCGGACTACTTCATTACTTGTCTTAACATGGATGTTCCAAGTTAAACGATTTGGAGTAATTCCTCCTAGAATCATCTCGTCGAGGAAATTGGCAGCTTCGCGAAACTTACTGACAGCACAAAACCCACTGATTACTTTCCCATATAATCCAGCATCAGGTTTTAAACCCTGAAGATTCATTCTATCGAGAAGTTCAACGGCTTCTTGAATCTTCTGCTCCTTACAGAGACCAGTGATCAAAGTGGTATACGTAACCATGTTTGGCCTACAGCCTCTAGCCATCATCATCTCAAATAATTCCATGGCTTGCAAAGAACGCCCATCTTTGCAAAGCCCGTCCATTAAAGAACTGTAAGTGAAAACATTCGGCTCGATGCCTTTACTTTTCATCTCTTCAAGATATCTCATTGCTTCATCAACATTTTTCGATCCACACAAACCATTAATCAGAGAAGTATATGTAACAACAGTTGGTGCACACTCTTTTTCAACCATCTCCTTAAACAACTTCTTCGCCTCATCTATCCTTCCGAACCGACACAAACCACTAATCAAGGTTCCATACGTGTAAGAATCTGGATCACACCCTCGTTTAGGCATTTCAAGAAAAATCTTAAGACCAGCATCCACTGTCCCGTCATTTCTACAAAGAGCTTTGATCAAAACATTGAGAGAGGCCACGGTAGGAGGCAAACCAATCTCTCTCATATTCTTGTAAAACTTAAAGGCTAAATTTAACTGATTCTCTTCCACGAGAATAGCAAGAACACTGACATAAGCCTTCTGGCTAGGATCACAATCAAAATCCTTCATCTTGTGAAAAACCCTCAAAGAATCAAATGGCCTATGAACCCGACCATACCCTCTACATATCGAAAGCAATATATCTTCACTAACAACACAATTCTCAACCCTCATTCTAACAATCAGATCTTCAGCTGCTTTGAACTTATTAGCAGAGACCAACCTCGACACCATATAACCAAAAGAACCCTGATCATGTAAGTACCCATTTGCGTATTCCGCCGTAGCGGAATCAAAAACGGCAATCGACTTCTCCACGTCTTTTTCAGCTCGCATCAGTTTAATAACTTGTGAAGGCGTGATATTCTTAGACCACTTGAACATCACCACTTTGCTACCCATTACTAAAAAATGATACCTTCCTACAATAGTAAAGAATAAACCTTTTTTCTAGAGAATCTCAGCTACGCATTACGTCGAACAGGTTGTGTGCATTAACGATTACAGTAGGCTCCAAACCAAATGAGGGCAACACTGACCAGATAAACCATTTGATCATCAAAACCTACGAATAGAGAGAGCAATCACAGACAAAAACGACGATTTCATCAACATTTTTCACCTTACCCTCTGAAAATTTTCCTTCTGTGCTAATATCAACAGCTTCTTGGGAGTTATAGACTCTTCTAAGTAAATCACCAAAAGTGAAGGAAGCAACAATGAAACTCGTTACGAAGTAGAAGGTTAATCAAATCGCCGGAGAAGAGTCGATCACCAGTTTGGCGACTTAGATTAGGGTTTATGAAATGAGAGAGACTTTAGGGTTGTCTCTTCAAACTATAATTAACCAAATTTAAACGAATTACGTGTCAACGTAAGTGTTAATCAAAATTTCGAAACTAAAATTATAAAAAAAAACCTACCAGGGGAAAACTTTTGTTTCATATAAATTTAAAGTAATCTAATTCGATATGTTTAATATTATTGGTGTTATTAATAAAATAATAAAGTAGAGATTTAACCCGTATTTTTTTCGTCAAAGAAATTAATTTAACCCGTATTAAAGCATTTGGTTAATAATATTTTAAAATTTTGTTAATATCGATTCAAATCCGTTCCGCCATGTAACTCATCCCACAATATAACTCGTCTTGCGTTATTTCAAACTTTTTATATGTCTAAACATTTTAGCCGATGTGGGACGTTTAACTGTTTAATTTTTCATTAGTTGAGTAATATATGTCTATTTTCTAAAATTCGAATCACAATATATGCAAGAAAAAATTAGATTTTTAACAAAATCATATGGGTATATTATTAATTGTGAAATATTATATGAAAATTATATAATTAATGTTAAACTTTTAATTGTGTTTGGTTATATATATAGTAGAAAATTAATTGTGAAGTTGTTTGGATACATGAATATTAAGTAAAATGTACTTCAAAAATACTATTATAGATAAAAAAAAACTATTTAAATAATTTTGTTTTATGATTATACTGCTAAAACCTAAAAAAATATATTCAGCTCATGTAATTCCTCTATCATCCTCACCCACATGCTAAATCTAAATCACACAATCATCTAATAATATAGTTTCATACTAATTACACTTAAAACAATTCTTCCACAACATGTTTGTCTACAAGACTAACTTAGCCGATAAACACATATAGAAATATCATACAATATCACTAAAACAAGTTTTTATACAAAATACCATACAATATTCAATATAAATTAGAAAGTGACCGCGGGACGAATTATTTTCCAAAATTTGTATGTATTTTATATAAAACTAGATATTGGCCCGTGCGTTGCACGGGTTGCTGGTCGAAATTGTCACTTATTTTTATAAAGTTTAACTAAAATTATATAAACAGCTATGTTTTAATTTTAGAAAATGCAACATTTTCATTATTTTTTAAATAGATTTATTATGCATAACGCACAATATAAAACACAATTTGTAGTTATTTTATACTAATTATTAAATCATCTAATATAAATGTTGGTCTATTTATCACCAACACCACCATTACCGCCTCTTCTCATTTTTTCCAACTTATCTTATTTCTCCTCCTTCTTTATTTTCTCTAGCATCGAGCCGAGTCTCTTTCCGACAACAATTCTAGTCTATGTCCATCACCGTTCATAATTTCTTAATTTGCCTCCATCGCCATATATTCTTTGGATCTAAATATAACATCCTATTTTTAGAAAACCATTGTAATTCAAAGTATTTATATATATATATAAATGACATGATATATTTCTAATAAATGATAAATAATTTTTACATGATTCATGTTGTTCTTAAAGTCAATCTATCACCATATCTGTAACCATACACCACCACCATCGTCACTTCCATTAACAATCACATGCTACTCCTATTTCTTTTAGTATGATATGCTATTTTATTTAATGACATTGTTTTTTCCTCTGATTCTAGGTGGATGTCTCTCTTTCGTCGTCAAAATTCTAGAATGACCAAAAAATAAGAAAAAAAATAATTATTTTTTAGTCAAAGGTTAGTTACTAATATTATCTTAAAAATAATTTATGACCAAAAAAAGAGAGGAAAAACTTTACTAATAGAATGAAATTAAAGAAATGATGGTGTCTCTGAAGAAATTAGTTTGCTTGGTGAGAATGAGACAATCTATTTTTTTCTGTAGAGGTGAGTATTTACAATCTTTTTTCTTATATGATTAATAAATTATATAATTTCCTTAAAAAAATTATCCTATTTTTAAATCTTTTTTTTGTACAGTTAGTAACTTATAAATAAAACGTTTAGCATTATTTTATAATTTCTATTTTTATGAACAATACACACATAATTTCTTTATATATACATATACTTTCCTTATAATAATCTTTTTATATTATGAAACTCTTTAAATTTATAAATTTGTTATAATTATCTTTTTACAATATTTAATTTGTTAAAACCAAATTTTTGTTTGCCATATGACAAAATCTCTTATGGAAATATAGGTATAATTTCCTTATACTTTTTACATTTAAAACTATTTAAATTTATAATTATCTTTTTTTTTCTTTTTAATTATTAAAAAGGAAATATTTATTTGACATATGGCAAAATCTAAGATCGATAGATTTGACACGTGTCACGATCACATGAGTTATTAACTTTGAAAACCATACTTTATATAATAAGATTTTGTAAATTATATCATTTTTAAGATATTTATATTTCATAGTTTACAATTGCCATTAAGTAAAAGTATATCACGACACAATTTTTGTATAAAATTTAAATCGGCATACAGCTATGAGTTTTCCAACATTCTCATGTCTCTTCGCGACCCTGATTGCAGCAGCAGCACCTCCAGATGATATACCAACCTGACAAAATTATTACTTTCACGTATAAATCATATGTAATTTCCACCTATAACATGCAACATGGCACCAAAACATCCGTGTGGTTCCCACTCAGAAATCATAAATACTACAAAGAACTAACCATCAAGTCTTCCTTAAGAGCTAGTTGCTTTGCGGTTTCTATAGCTTCCTCACTTGAAATCTGGTAAACGCAAAAAGAACATAGTAATTTACAAGCCAATAAGAATAATTGATAAAGTTTGAGTCTCAGGAATTGGAACATTTAAGCAATAAGTTGACAGAAAAATTGTCGATGTCTTGTGGAAACCAGATAAATTGTATAACCATACATAATCCAACAAATAAATCTTACCGCTATGACTTCATCCATAATTTTCTGATCCAAATTCTTAGGTATAAATCCAGCTCCAATTCCTTGAATCTTGTGAGGTCCTGTATAAAATGCAAGAGAAAGAAAATAAGTGAATATTGAATCATAGTTCGAAAAAACGGAAACAAAATTACTGATTGATAACTATTGGTAAGCCTACCCGGTTTGCCACCAGAAAGTATATCGCTTTCGGTAGGTTCTACACCAATAACCTGGTACATGTAAACACCAAATAAATAAGTACGAATTAAATTGCTTCAATGAGCATGAAATGGTGTCTAAATAACACCTGCACATGTACTCCAGCTAAGATTGAAACCTTTTGACTTTTGCATTTACCTGCGTTTTGGGATTTTTCTCTTTAATAAATCGACCAACACCAGTGATAGTTCCACCAGTTCCAATTCCTGCAACAAATATATCCACCTTGCCTTTTGTATCAATTCAGATCTCAGGACCAATAGTATCGTAATGAATCTGCATATATTTAAATTTGCAATTTACAAACGTGAAAAGAGAACCTCACAGAAGATCATGCCGATTTAAATTTTATGCAACTAGGGTGAACTTGATAACATCATCAAATTTAAAAGAAGTATTTTGAATTTTATGAAAAATCTATACATTACTTATCCAAACTAAAAACTAAATAAAGACTAAAGTACAAATTTTGAACAAAACTAAGCTAAATATTAAAACAAAAATTCTATAAAGTAACGTGTGAAACCTCTACAAACGTAAGCACCACTCTAATTAAGATCTACAATGGCCATGTAGTTATAAGATGCGAACAAATGTTAGTCTTCATGAGTCATGACAAACAAATAACTTAACAACGAGTGACATCAATTGTCACAATGTGGAAGACGATAATGATTAGCTCGAAAACTAAAGTGTATAAAACAAAACGATAATGATCAGTTAGAGAACTAAAATGTAGAAGATGAAATATGTATTCCTTCTATTCTTAATTAAATCTAATTTTAAGTCGTTCACACATATTTTTTTTTTGTTTTTGAAGTTTATAATTCATCATCAATAACTAGTAAAAAAATGTATAAAAAACTTAAAAAATATATCTCTTTGAAATAAATTTTTTGATCTATTGAAGAATCCTTAGACTTAGTAATTGCATCTTTAGTTAATTAATATCATCGGTTGTAAAAAAAAAATTGTTTGTAGATTTACATTAGGATACTAAACCCCCTAAATGACCAATACTCATGATCATGAAGTTGCTTATTGGAAAACCTGTACAATTAAACTTTTTTTTTTTTCAAAATCTGCATTAATTTATAAGTCCAATAACCATTAGTTTTCTTTTACTTATCACTATTTGATTTTATTTTGGAAATTACAGTAAATGTATTACTGAAACAAAGTAATAAGATATTTAAAAATCTAGAATAATATATGAAGCATGAAACTGCAAGTCAAATGCTGACAGGTTACCAATTAAAAAAAAGGTCATTAAATAGACAAATTAGTATTATTTATGGTCAAAGAGATATTCATACCTTTAAAACAAGTAAATATCATTTTAAAAAATCTACTTTCTTGTGACTCCGTCACGTTCAATAATTTGAAGACCACTCAACATATAAGGTAAATAATCAAAAAAAAAATCTACAAAACTTCAATTATTATTATCTTCCAAAAAACAAAATTATACAGATGATGATGATATGGAACTTCGATTGGCTAATATTCACTGTGTCTCTCTAAAAACCATCCACTTATCAAGATAAGATGGACCCTACACTCATCCAATCTAAACCAATATCTCACGATTCTTATCTAATCACTTCATTCTCCACCGTTAGATCAAATTCACCATTAACCATACCATAAGCCCATACACCGCGATACACTAGATTAACCAAATCATCTCTTGAAATACTCGAAAACCTCATATCTTCGCTTCCTCTTTGCTCTCACTGTCTAAACCTCTGAATTTCGATTTCAATGGAGTCACGCGTGCTGTTACGCGCCACCGCTAATGTCGTCGGAATTCCGAAATTGAGACGACCAATCGGAGCGATCCACCGTCAATTCAGCACTGCGTCGTCGTCTTCGTCGTCATTTACGGTTAAACCAATCGGAGGAATCGGAGAAGGAGCGAATCTGATCTCCGGTCGTCAGCTTCGTCCGATTCTTCTTCTCGATTCGTCGGCGATCAACGGCGGAGAGAAGAGAGAGATTCTCAAACCGGTTAAAGCCGCCGCTGCTGAAGGTGGAGATACCGCTGGGTAAGAGGTCCGTTTCTAGCTTACTCGGTGTTGACTCGTTTGACTCGGTGAATCTGAACTCGTTTATTTCGCAGGGAAGCTAAAGTTGGATTCCTCGCCAAGTATCCATGGCTAGTCACTGGATTCTTCTTCTTCATGTGGTACGTGTCTTTCACGCGCTTATCTTAAATTTTATCATGCGCACTTTAGCAGATTCTTGTGATTTTACCGCCAAGTTTTGGAATTCAGTGTGAATTTACGGTTTTACCCTCATTTGGTGTTAACAGGTACTTCTTGAATGTGATTTTCAACATCCTTAACAAGAAGATCTATAATTACTTCCCTTATCCCTAGTAAGTTCTTAACACATTTTTACATCCGTGTTTAAATTTTTTTATTTGTGGATTAGTGTTTTTTAAGAGTTAATCGCAATATTTTCAATTTGTGATCAAACTAAATATTATTCTGTGGTCCAAATTGTTTTTCTTTTTGGGGGCCAAATATTATTCTGTTGGTCCGATTAAGAATCGAATCTGAATATTGTATCAAGAGGATACATTTGTTCGAAAAAGAATCCATTTGTCTTTTATTACTTTTAAATATAAATTAATAATGTCTTTTTACAAAATAATAATAATAATAATGTTCGTGTTTTTGTTTTTCAGTTTTGTATCGGTGATACACTTGTTCGTGGGAGTTGTATACTGCTTGATCAGCTGGTCCGTGGGCCTTCCTAAACGAGCCGTAAGTTCATTTCTTTATAGCTCACTTTAAATGATGCTAGTTTATGAGATGCAAAATGCAAAAAATTGGGGCGTTCCGAGAATCGAACTCGGGACCTCTCGCACCCAAAGCGAGAATCATACCACTAGACCAAACGCCCAGTTGATGTTACATTGTTTGTTAATGTTATTATCTAATGGTGTACTCTTGGCTCATGTGAATGATTTGATGGTTGCAGCCAATTGACTCGAACCTCCTCAAGGTATTGATACCAGTTGCAGTCTGTCACGCCTTAGGCCATGTCACTAGCAATGTTTCCTTCGCCGCGGTTGCTGTCTCCTTCACCCACACCATCAAAGGTATTTTTGATATAAATTTATACAACATAAAAGTAACATTAATTTATATGTAAATCAAAATCTAACATATTTATATGTTTTTGCCAAAACGCAGCACTTGAGCCATTCTTCAATGCGGCTGCTTCTCAATTCATCATGGGACAATCCATCCCCATAACATTATGGTTGTCTCTAGCTCCTGTTGTTCTTGGTAAACACTCAATCAAACTCTTTTCGTGTTTCTTCTGTCCTAAGTTACTTGGATTAACGACCTAGTAAAATTTTTGCAGGTGTTGCAATGGCTTCACTAACCGAGCTATCATTCAACTGGCTCGGTTTCATCAGTGCCATGATCTCAAACATTTCTTTCACTTACCGAAGCATCTTCTCCAAGAAAGCCATGGTTCTTGATTCTTCTTTCTTCTTCTTTATATGCTACGAAATCGCGTCAAGTTTTGATTTTTGAAACCGGATTGTGTTTTTGCAGACTGATATGGACAGTACAAATGTCTACGCTTACATCTCCATCATTGCTCTCTTTGTCTGCATTCCTCCTGCCATCATCGTTAAGTCACTTTCATTATTTCCTCACTAGTTACGTTTGAGAGAAGTAATGTGTGTTATTAACTAGGGTTTTTGGTTAAAATTTGGTCTTAGGTTGAAGGACCTAAACTACTGAACCATGGTTTCGCCGACGCTATTGCTAAAGTCGGAATGACTAAATTCATCTCTGATCTCTTCTGGGTTGGAATGTTTTACCATCTCTACAATCAGGTAAAGTAAATTTCAAAAGTTTCAAAGTTTCTATCTTTAACCTTAACCCTGCATTTGCAATTAATGAAACTAAAACTTTGAGCAAACCGCGGTTGCAGTTGGCTACTAATACCTTGGAAAGGGTCGCACCGCTGACTCACGCGGTTGGAAACGTTCTGAAACGTGTGTTCGTGATCGGTTTCTCCATCGTTATCTTCGGTAAAAGATTACTAACAAAACTTGCTTCATATATTTTTACTTATTAGACAATCACGAATGTAACAGTTAATAAATTTTCACTTGTTTACTATTTGCAGGAAACAAGATATCGACACAGACAGGTATAGGAACAGGAATAGCTATTGCTGGAGTTGCAATGTACTCTATCATTAAGGCCAAGATTGAAGAAGAGAAAAGGGTCAGTTCATTATTCACATTAGCTCAATTTTTCACAACAAAGCTTAAGAAATTTTGCTTAATAATGAATATATGAATTGTTTTGGATCTTGAGAAAAAGATGATTAATATGAGAATTGGATCTTCTTTTGCTTCAATTCAGCAAGGAAAGAAAGCTTAGAGAGCGGCGGAAGACGGCGGTCGACGGTTGCATAAACAAGTCCTCCGATGGATATATTTATATAATAAATAACCAAATGCAATAGTATGTTGTATTGTACCATCAACCATTGTTTTCGAGTTTTTCCTTTCTTTGTTTTTTTGCTTTCTGAAAAGTTATATATAATTTTTTATTCTGCTTCTTCTGTTTTTAATGGAGAACATTTCCATTTCTTTTGATATGCAATTATCTTGACGGATAAAAGGCATAATAATGTATTTATTTGCTCTTATACCCATCATCGTAGAGTTAAATTTTAATTTATCTTTGTATAAAGGAATCAAGATCCTAGTATCTTGACGGATAAAAGGCATAATAATGTATTTTTTTGCTCTTGCTAATTTTGTGTTTTCATCTGGTAATTTCTTTAAATTGGTTATATATTGTTTTTGTAATATTATATGTGTTATATAAGTTAAAAAGAATCATCATCGTCGATAGTAAAGTGCGATTTTTATTCGTTTTTTTTCTTTTTCTGTTAACGTGTTATAAAAAGAGTGAATTAGCGGATTGGTGGGAATCACTGCTTGTCGAGATGATTAGCGGCAGATCCTTCGGATCTGGGATGGCTAGATGTGGAGAACGGCGGTTGGGGGTTTGTTTGAGCCAGCGACTCTAATCGTTGCCGCCTTTGGTTTTCGTCAGACCGGATTGAACTATGACTGTCACGGAGGAAGCTTGTGTCGGGAACGGCGCCGGAGGTGAGGGTTCGTTCTAGGTTTCTGGTTGCTAGGTCGGGACTAGATTAAGCGGGTCGGTCGTCTATGGCTATTATCTTTTCCGGGAGAGGAGTTTCAGGTCGGCTCCGTCGTTGACTTCGGGTTTGTGGCGGGAATCGATAACTCCGGCCATGTCGCTTGAGTCACTGCGGAGTAGCAAAGAAGGGCCTCTTGTTATCGCCGGAGCTTGGAGGTGGTGCCGGTGCTGCCG